GGTTGAGGCCCACTGCGGTGGCCAGGGCTGTACCGGTGGCCGTGATGTAAGCCACCCCGATTTGCCTAGACAATGATTTCCAAAGAAGGGAGAGAACAGAAACACCAACTCGATCCTGTTCCCTTAGTGCTCAAGATGGGGCGTGGTGGGCTCTTTATGGAGCATCCAGCGGAGTCCCAACATAGAGGGCACCCATCCCATGCGGGGGCAGGCTCACCTCAGTGAGATGGGGGAGGCAGCATTGCGGTTGGTGTAGTTGACGATGGCGTTGAAGGACTGGTTCACCCACTGCCAGAAAACCACGGCAGGCACTGTCCTGTGGAGGGAAGGGATGGGCAGAGCATGCAAGGGCCGTCAGGGACACCCAGCCTGTGCCTGTGGCCAGCCTTGGCAGGGGGACAGCCAAGATGCCCTCAATTCCCTTGTCTTGGTGTCTTCCGAGGGAAGCTGAAGCAGTGTGGCAAAGTCACAAGCCAGTGGCAGAGCTGGGAAATGACCCCAGGAGTCCTGCTTGCCACAGAGCACTGGGGAGCATAGGAGGGGGCCCAGCCCCGCAGCTACTCAGCCAGGGGTGGGAAACCCAGCCTTCAGCAGGGTGGCAGCCACCCTGCTGCCCCAAGATAAGCCTTTGTCAATGGGAGTGGCAAGGAGGGGGCACACAGGGACAGAGGCAGCTCTGGGGGTGACCAGGGTGCCTGAGCTCCTACTTGTGTCTCAGGGACACTTAGGTGGGGCAGGAGGGGACATCAGGAGATGTGGGGCTGAGCAAGCTTTGGGATAAGGGAGGGTAGAGATGGACTGGGAAGAGGGTGACCCATCAGCACTGGGAGATACCCCACCCAGCCTGGACCTCACTGGCAACTGGCAAACCAGTCCAGCAAACAGGGGTGGGATGGGATGGGGATCCACTTGGAAAGGCACTGTCTGTCCCACACAGCCTCTGTGCTTGGCACAGGATCGCTGACACCCCCCCACCCTGTCCCCAGCACACATTTCAAAGAGGAAATGCACAGAGCTGTGCAGAACAGGCTGGGGACACTGGAGCAGCCTGGCCTGGGGGCATACTGGATCTTTGGTTTCGGGGGCTGTTATGGTCCACAGAGCAGGAGCAGCGGTCACCCAGGACTTGGCCACATTAATCATTACAGGGTCTCCAGGAGGAGCTAAACTGAGGGAAAAGCGAGACTGTACCCAGCCATGCTGGGGGCCGGGAGGATCCAGGCTGCTTTCACCACGGACTGGGCACTGGTCACAGGATGCAGGCAGACTGGTTGTATCCCAGCCATTGGGGATCCGTCGAGGAGCTGGGGGCTGTCAGGTCTCCTGGCATCCCCAGGGGCTCACCGGTAGAACTGGAGCATGCAGCCGGTGAGGGCCATGCCCCCTGGCACCTGGAAGGACATCCTCCCAATGAGATTCATCTTCTCGCCACTGTCAGGGTGGAAGGCTGAGTCGTACAACTTCTTGGCGTACAGCAGCTGCTCCTGGCTATTTCCTGGTGGCACCAGCCCAGCCCTGCAAGCCCAGAGCATGTTGGGAGAAGCTGTGGAGACCGACCAGGCACCTGGCACGGCCAGGGCACAGAGCCTCAGGCACCAAACATGAAAGGCAGAGGAAGTTTCTCCAGTGAGGGGAACTTGTCCCAGCTCGAGGCTCCTAGGAGAAGCTTGAGGAACCCCCCCCCCCAAACCACCTCTGATGGATGTCACATCCCAGCACGCCCTCTTGGGAAGGACTGCCTCCATCCTGCTGCGGCCCTGCAGGGTGGTCAGGTACGGGTACAGCACCCGTCGTGGCTGCACCCCTTCTCCTCTCACCTGCAGCCTTCCACCAGGGCCTTGGCCCTGTCCAGCTCCTCCTCTGGGACCAGCACCGTCCGCGGGTCAGTGATGTTGAGGAAATGCTTCAGGCGCCCTATGAAGGTGCTCTGGTCCCAGCGCGGGGCGTCAATGTTGAAGCCAAGGGGGACGGTGACCATTTCGGCACGGGTCTGGGCAAGGGGAGAAAGAGTCCTGGGAAGATCCCGCGGCGAGTGGGGGCGTGCCGCGGCCACGGGAGCGGTTAACGGGCTGAGAGCGGCGGCAGGTTTATGTTTAACGTGGCAGTTGGACTTTCAGCTGCCCCGAGCGCGCGAGCTCCCTGCGGC